TCCCCCCCCCCCACCTCAAGCCGCACCCCCATCTCCTACCGACTAACCTCATCCCGCCCCATTGACCTGTCCGTCCTCCCTGGACTGACCTATCCCCTCCCTACTTCCGCACCTACACTCACCTTTACTGGCTCCATCCCCGCCTCTTCGACCTGTTTGTTTCCTCTCCACCTATCCTCTCCTCTATCCATCTTCTATCCGCCTCCCACTCTCTCCCTATTTATTTCAGAACCCCCTTCCCCTCCCCCTTTTCTGATGAAGGGTCTAGGCCCGAAACGTCAGCCTCTCTGCTCCTATGATGCTGCTTGGCCTGCTTTGTTCATCCAGCCCTGCAACTTGTTGTCTCTGACCATCAATAGGAGATGGTTAGCTTTTCTCTGACACTTGGGTGACTTGAATTCTACTTACTACTTGTCAGGATGCCGTCAATGTCATGCTCCACAAGTCAACAGACTGCATTAGTACCTGAGGAACCATGAATGGTGCTGAACATTGTGTAATCATCAGTGAACATCCCCACTTTTGACCTTATGATGGAGGTAAGGCCATTGATGAAATAGCTGAAGGCGGTTGAGCCAAGTTTACTACCATGTGATGCTCCATTGGTGATGACCTGAGATTCAAATGATCGACCTCCAACAACCACAACCATCTTCCTTTCTGTTTGGTATGACTCCAACCAGTAGACAGTATCCCACTTGATTCCCATTAATTCCGTTTTTTCTTGGGCTCTCTGTTATCACACACAATTAAATGCTGCCTTGATGTCAAGGGCAATCACTGTCACTGTCAAATTGAATTAAACTAGTGACCAAAAACATGGCAGATGGATCTCAAAGTGAGAAAGAGTCATGTCATTCATTTAAGACTGATTTGTTAATTTTCCAGAGAGATTTAAGCATCCAGAAAAGACACCTGGAAAAATTGCTATTGTGATATGCTCTGATTCAACTACATTGAAAGAACTCTACTTGGCAGCTCACTTTAGGAGAGATACCCCAACCTTGGAAATGGTACAGCACTCACAGCAAATGATACTTGAACAAAAATAGTAAGTTTTAGGACAGTTTGAAGGCCAGACTTGCATTCCCTTGAGAATAAAAGATTAATCACTGGTCTAATTGTGGTATTTAAGATGAATAAAGAAATTAGCAAGTTAGACAGAGAGAAGTTAACGTGAGAGAGTCCAGAATAAGGATTCAACTAGAAAATATGAGCTAGGCCATTTAGAGGTGCTGTTAGGAAACATGTCGCCACACTAAGGTTAAAGAAAATCTCGAACTCCCTTCCAGCTAAAATGCAGATGAATCAATTCAAATGGCAAAAGACAGATAGATTTTCTATATTCACAGGTATTACAGATCTATCATAAGTATATGGTTTATTCATTCATAGGATGAGGGAGCATTTATTGCCCATCCCTAATTGCCTAGAGTCAACCACATTGCTGTCTGGAGTCTGGAGTCACATGTAGGCCAGATCAGGTAAGGATGGCAGTTTCCTTCCCTAAAGGACATTAGTGAACCAGGTGGGTTTTTTCAATAATCAACAATGGATTCATGGTCATCATTGAACTCCTAATTCCAGATATTTATTGAATTTAAATTCCACCATCTACAGTAACAGGATTGAAACCCAGGTCCCCTGGATGTTATCTGGATTAACAGTCCAGTGGTAATACCACTAGGCCATTACCTCCCCCTGAGTATGTGGTGTTCAAATAATTTAATGATAGTACTGGCTCAAGAGGCTAAACAGCACACTTATATTTCTACATTCATATTTTCCTACTAGAAACAATGAAAATAAAATTGGGTAAAAACTTTAAAAGTCGTTCCCTGTTCACATTATGGGGAATGAGCACAAAGGAAGACTGTATGTTTAGATCTATCAAAGACCATGTAATAGTTCCACAGTCAAGCTGCCTTCTTCTGCACTGTATAGGTCTATGATCTTATCAACTGGAAAATAAAATTCAGTAGGTGATATATGTATTATTTTAATGTTCAATGTATTATTTTTCATTTTATAAAGTTGTTAAATCAAACTGCCGAGATGACTTACGTTTCACACTTTGGCTACAATATTTACTTGAGGCAGAAAGTTTACAGATAGAAGGACTTTTGGAAAGGAGATAGAAAATATAAGATTATGCTAACCATCTTAAAGAAATTAACCAAATGTTATGTTTTATTTGGATTCAACAAACCGCTGCTGGAGTCAGAGATAACACAGTGTGGAGCTGGAGGAACACAGCAGGCCAAGCAGCACCAGAGGAGCAGGAAAATTGATGTTTTGGGTCAGCACCCTTCTTCAGAAGAAGGGTCACGACCTGAAACGTCAACTTTCCTGCTCCTCTAGGGGTCCCTGGCCTGCTGTGTTCCTCCAGCTCCACACTGTGTTATCTATGACTCTAGCATCGGCAGTTCTTACTATCTCTGAATGAGGTAATAAAGAAACTTGAGCAAAAAAATACTAAGCTGACACTAAGTGAGGTAACTGAAGGAGTACTGCCTTGTTAAAGGTGCATCTCACTGAATTAAAGCACTCTGCCCCTTGGCCTCCTACAGGAGCAGCCTCAACTCTTCATCAATTAAAGCACTTGTACAACATCCAATTGGATTTCAGTTCATTTATCTTTTTCTTTGTTTGCTTTGGTTCCATGGAGAATTCATCTGCATCATGACCAAGACATCAGTTCCTTTGAAAATATTTTTAATAAATTTCAGAGAAAATTTCACTTCAGCCTTATCTCTTTTTACAGGTTAATTCAGCCTGAAATGCTTTAACCACCTCTCAGTTGGTTGCAAAACTTTATTTTATTTCTTTTTAGCACATTTATAACACACATCAATTAAAAATGTGGTTAATCAGATCAAAATGAAGGACCAAAAGATAATTTTTCAGAGGGAGGTGATGGTATAATGGTATTGTTGCTGGACTACTAATTCCCCAGAACAAGGTAATATTCTGGGGAGCCAGGTTCAAATCATACCACAGCAGATGGTGGAATTTGAAGTCCATAATAATCTGGAATTAAAAGTCAAATGCAGCTATTGTCAACTGTTACTTTTTAAAAAGAAAAAGTTTGGCCTGTTAGGGAAGATAAGCTGCTGTCCTTATCAGTTCTATGATTGACTCTTAACAATTCGGGATGGATAATAAAAGCTGTCCAGCCAGAGATACCCACATCCTGAGCAGATACAAAGAAAGAACAAGAGGGCATGAAGAATCAGTACATGAAACAAAGTCAGCCATCTATCAAAGATCAATTCTTAGTTCTGAAGAAGGGTCACTGGATCTGAAACGTTAACTCTGTTTTGACTCCAAAGATGCTGCTAGAACTGCTGAGTTTTTCCACCAATTTCTATTTTTGTTGTTGTTATTGTTGAAGGTTAATGTCAACTGTTCTTTTCAGACTGCAGGGTTTGCATAATGAGGAGAGGCTGGGTAGGCTGGGACTTTTTTCACTGGAGCATAGGAGGTTGAGGGGTGACCTTATAGAGGTTTATAAAATCATGAGGGGCATAGATAATGTGAATAGCAAAGGGTTTTTTTTCCCCTAGGGTGGGGGAGTTCAAAGCAAGGGGGCATATTTTTAAGGTGAGAGGAGAAAAATTGAAAAGAGACCTGAGGGGCAATTATTTCAGCCAGAGGGTGGTTCGTAGGAAGTGACAAAGTTGATAGATGAGGGAAGGGCTGTAGATGTCATAGACATGGACTTCAATAAGGCGTTTGATAAGGTTCCCCATGGTAGGCTGATGGAGAAAGTGAAGTCGCATGGGGTCCAGGGTGTGCTAGCTAGATGGATAGAGAACTAGCTAGGCAACAGGAGACAGAGAGTTGTAGTGGAAGGGAGTTTCTCAAAATGGAGAACTGTGACCAGTGGTGTTCCACGGGGATCCGTGTTCGGACCACTGTTGTTTGTGATATACATAAATGATCTGGAGGAAGGTATAGATGGTCTGATTAGCAAGTTTGCAGATGACACTAAGATTGGTGGAGTAGCAGATGGTGAAGGGGACTGTCGGTGAATGCAGCAGAATATAGATAGATTGGAGAGTTGGGTGGAGAAATGGCAGATGGAGTTCAATCCAGGCAAATGCGAGGTGATGCATTTTGGAAGATCCAATTCAAGAGTGAACTATACGGTAAATGGAAAAGCCCTGGGGAAAATTGATGCACAGAGAGATCTGGGTGTTCAGGTCCATTGTACCCTGAAGGTGGCAACGCAGGTCGATAGAGTGGTCGAGAAGGCATATGGCATGCTTTCATTCTTCGGACGGGGTATTGAGTACAAGAGTTGGCAGGGCATGTTACAGTTGTATAGGACTTTGGTTCGACCACTTTTAGAATACTGCGTACAGTTCTGGTCGCCACATTACCAAAAGGATGTGGATGCTTTAGAGAGGGTACAGAGGAGGTTCACCAAGATGTTGCCTGGTATGGAGGGCGCTAGCTATGAAGAGAGGTTGAATAGATTAGGATTATTTACATTAGAAAGACAGAGGTTGAGGGGAGACCTGATTGAGGTCTACAAAATCATGAGAGGTATAGACAGGGTGGATAGCAAGAAGCTTTTTCCCAGAGTGGGAGACTCAATTACTAGGGGTCATGATTTCAAGGTGAGAGGGGAAAAGTTTAAGGGAGATATGCGTGGAAAGTTCTTTACGCAGAGGGTGGTGGGTGCCTGGAACATGTTGCCAGCGGAAGTGGTAGAGGCGGGCACGATAGCGTCATTGAAGATGTATCTAGACAGATACATGAATGGGCAGGGAGCAGAGGGATACAGATCCTTGGAAAATAGGCGACAGGTTTAGATAGAGGATCTGGATTGACGCAGGCTTGGAGGGCCGAAGGGCCTGTTCCTGTGCTGTAATTTTCTTTGTTCTTTGTTCTTTTTTTGTATATGGAATGAACTGCCGGTAGAAGTGGTAGATGCAGGTACAGTTACAACATTTAAAAGACATTTGGACAAGTACATGAGTAGGAGAGGTTTAGAGGGATTGGGCCAAATGCATGCAAGTAGGACTAGTTTAGTTTGGGAAACTTGGTCAGCGTGGACAAGTTGGACTGAAGGGCCTGTTTCCGTGCTGTATGACTCTCTGACTCCTTAAACTATTGACCAAATATTGAACGTAAAAAAGTACTACTTATGCTTAAATAAAAATTACACCATTGTAGAATCACTTTGGACGATTGAACAAATAGTCCAAAAAGACTTTAAATTTATTATATCTCCTAAAATATTTGGACATCTGAAGTATCTAAAAATGTCATAGCATTGTGGAATGAGCTAGCAAGCCACTCTGGTGTATCAACCATTAAAAAATCTCAAAAAAGGAATGAAACAAAACAGATCACCTGGCTTCGACCTATGGCACTTGAAATGGCAAGAGCAAACTGCAAACATTGCAAAGTCCTCCTTACTAACACCTGTGTGCTTGATCTAAAATTATCATCATAGAATCCCTACAGTGTGGAAACAGGCCCTTCGGCCCAACAAGTCCACACCGACACAAAGAGCATCCCACCCAGGCTTATCCCCCTAATCTACACATCCCTTAACACTACGGGCAATTTAGCATGGCCAATCCACCTAACCTGCACATCTTTGGACATGGGAGGAAACCAGAGCACCTGGAGGCAACCCACGCAGACACAGGGAGAATGTGCAAACTCCACACAGACAGTCACCCAAGGGTGGAATCAAACCGGGGTCCCTGGCGCTGTGAGGCAGCAATGCTAACCACTGAGCCACTGTGGGACAGCTGTCTCTCAGACTACGCAAGCAACAGCCTGACACAGACATAATCACCAAATCATACCTTTCACACAACATCCGAGACAACAGCATCACCATCCATGGGTATATCCTGTCCTATCAGTGAGACAGACCCAGCAGAGATGGTGGCCCAGTGATATACAGATGGCAGGCAGCTGCTCTGGGGCTCCTCAACAGTGGCTCTAAATTCCATGATGTCTCAGGGCGCCAGGTCAAACACGGGCAAGGAAACCGCCTGCCGATTACCATGTACTGCAGACAACATACCCCTCTGCGCCCCTAAACCATCACCACCCCTTGGCTGATGAATCAGTGCTCCTCAATGTTGAACAGCACTTGAGTAAAGTACTGAGAGTGGCAAGGGTGCAGAATATACTCTGGATAGGGACTTCAAAGTCCATCACCAAGAGCGGTTCAACAGCACAAGTAATGACTGAGTTGGTCAAGTCCTAAAGGTATTGTTGTTGGACTGGATCGGTGGCAGATGATTTGATTTGATTTATTTAGTGTCACATGTATTTTGTTACAAAATACAGTGAGAAGGGTTATATAGTATTGCCACTCTCCTGCACCACCTTAAAACACAAAAATAAGCCAAAACATAGAATACAAAGGCAGAAAAGGAAAGAAATAAAGAAAAAGTGTTCAATTCTACAATCCTTTTGCACAACATACTAGACATCATCTTCACTAATTTGCCTGTATCTGTCCATGACAGTGTTGGTAAAAGTGACCACAACATAGTTCTTAGTGTTGTTTAGTACTATCACCATGCCAATGGAAGAAACTTTGAACAGCTCTAGCAACTCATGACTGGGCATCCATGTGGTGCTGGGGGCCACTAGCAGTAGCAGAATCATACTCCAATCTGCTCAGGATACCCCCCAGTCTATCATTACCATCAAGCCAGGGAATCAATGAAGTTCAATGAAGAGTGCAGGAGGTCATGTCAGGAGCAGCACCAGGCATACCTAAGAATGAGGTGTCAACTTGCTGAAGCTACAAAGCAGTAAACAGCATAGGTAGCAAATGATAGACAGGGCTAAGCGATTCGACAACCAATGTACGAGATTGAAGGGCGGAACTTTACAAGAGCCTGTACGACATGGGGTGAGATTTGTGACAGAATCAGGTGAGAAGTCTGACAGGCTGATCTCAACGTTAGGAGAATCTCACTCCATCTCTTATACTTTGACAAGCAGCATGGTGACTTTCTCACAAGACAGCAGCAAGTTACCAATTAAGAGAGATAATTGTCTGTCAAATGCCTTGTTAATGGGCCAACTCATCTCATCAATATTCCCACCTTACCAAATGTGTCAAGCAAGCTAGGGACTGATTAGGGATAGTCAGCATGGATTAGATGGAGGGAGGTCTGGTCTGACTAACTTCATTGAAGTTTTTTTGAAAAGCTGACGAAATATATTGATAAGGGCAATGCAGTTGACATGGTTTATATGGACTTCATTGAGGCTTTTGACAAGGTCTCATTTGAAAACGTGTTGAAAAACAAAAGAGCCTATGGGATCCAAGGCAAGTTGGCAAACCGGGTCCAAAATGGGCTTGCGAATAGCAGGCAAAGGATGATGGTGGAAGGTTGCTTTTATGATTGAAAGCCTGTGACCAGCGATGTACCACAGGCATTGGTGTTGGGACCCTTGTTGTTTGTTTTGTACATTTAATGACCTGGATGTAAATGTAGAAGGTATAACTAATTAATTTGCAGATCCAACAACAATTAGCAGGGTTGTTGACAGTGAGGAGGATGGTCTCAGGCTTCGGTCTGATATTGATCAGCTGGTGAATTGTGCGGAGCAATAGGAGATGGAATTTAACCCCAAAAAGAGGTGATGAATTTTGGGAGGCCTAGTAAGGGAATGTTACCAATGAATGGTTGATCCCTAGGGAGTACTGAGTAACAAAGGGACCTTGGTGTACAAGACCACTGAAGGCATCAGCACAAGTAGACAGGGTGGTGAAGAAGGCATATGGGATGCTTGCCTTCATTAGAAAACAGGAGCAAGGAAGTCTTGTTACAACTTCATGTGGTTAGATGAAATACTGTGTGCAGTTCTGGTCGCCACACTATCAGAAGGACATGATTGCACTGTAGAGGGTGCAGAGGAGATTCACCAGGATGTTGCCTGGGATAGAAAGTCTCAATTATGAGCAGAGACTGGTTCAGCTGGGTTTGTCTTCCTTGAAGCAGAGGAGGCTGAGGGGGGACCTAATTGAAGTATACAAAATTATGAAAGGCATAAACAAGAGTAGATCTTGAGAATCTTTTCCTCATGGCAGATGTGTCTAAAAGCAGAGGACATAAGTTTAAGGTGGGGAGTAAATGGTTTAGAGGAGATCTGAGAAAATGTTTCTCACCCAGACGGTGGTAGAAACATGGGTCATGCTGCCTGAGAGGGTGGTGGAGGCAGGTACCCTCACAATATTTATGAAGCATCTGGATGAGCACTTAAAATATCAGGGCATAGTGGGCCATGGACCAAGTGCAGGTAAATGGGGTCAGTTTGTTTGGTGTTTGTTGGTCAGCATAGACATGGTGGGCTGAAGAACCTGTTTCTATGCTGTACAATCAGACTCATGACCTGACATAGTCACCCCATATACCAGAGGCTAAGGGTGGAAAGTGGGCATATAAATGGGTAGGGTGAGGACATGGGAAGGTGTAGAGTCTATGGGGTTCATGAAAATGGCCATTAGGAGGTTTAAATGGCCGGAGGGTTCACCGACAGGTACAGATGGAGGCCAAGGAGCGCTCACTTTAGCCTTTCATCATTCAGGAAATCCAAAGTGCACAATGGGAAAGATGATGTCTGGAACTACATTCAGATTGGGAGGGGTAAGTGTTTTGAACTTTGAGGCAGTGGGCTGCATAATATGAGGGCATTTAAAGGGAAACAACTTTATGCACAAACCTATGTATTGTACAGGACAGCGGGTCCCTAATCCGTGGGCATCTTAATTCATCGACCCCTGTTTGCTGTGCACCTCCCTGTCCCAGGCATCGCTGACCAATTCTTTCGCACCAACATTCCACCACCCACTGCCTTGTATACACCTTGTTCCTCTTGCTTACAGATGCTGCAGCAGGCTCTCAACACAGCATCAATCCACGGCACATTCCCAGTGACCATGCAGTTAGGCCTCATGCTGGAACTCTTATATTTGAGGTGACACAGAGATGTAAGATCAAAGCAGTGCCATTTGTGGAAAAAGGGCCCAATAACGTACAGTACATCATCACATACCAAAATGCCCTCAATAAATTTATTTCTTCCTCTCCCTTGCACTACATCTTAGACAACTCCCTGGTTCAAAACCTAGAGTGCAGGGAGTATGCTTGGCAGTAGAGCCCATTGGCCCTGGGAGGTTTGGTTGGGTGACTCTGGGGCATTTGTGCCTGGATGACCCAGATGTGCTGACGGTCTTCTTGCCAGATGCAAGTGGACCATCCTTAGCTTTGACTCCAAGGGATAGACAGGGTAGAGATGGAGGGCCTGGCCACATCTGGTGTGTCTTGAGATGAGACTTCTAAGGGAAGGGTGT